AGATGGGGCAGTTCCACTCTGTTTCTGTGGCTTTGTCTGTGCCTTCCTGAAGTTTGGGGTGAGATAAGAGTGAGAAGATACTCCCCATCACCGGTGCTGGTACTACCAAAAGGTGTCACACACTGCAAAATGGAGATGCCATGGTCACAAGCTGTCCTGGGGAGCGTAGAAAGAAACACCTAGGCCACTCGAGAAGGACACCCTTCCCGTTCTCAAGGCCTTTGCATCTGTCCTACAGCCTCCCCAAGGGTACTCTCCGTGCCCAGCTCACTTCTCAAGAAGCCTGGCTGCAGGGCTATGAAAACACTACTATTGGCTCCAGGATGGGCACTGAGAGCTGCCAATGGCAGCAACCAGCTGTGGGAAAAGCCTGGCTCAACACTCCAGACCTCATGGACACGTTCAGCGGGAGTCCAGGCATAAGTCAGAGTAGGCCAGGCTCTGTCAGCACCCTAATTTAAGCAGTAAGGAACACAAGATGACAATTTAATATGGTGATGTCACAGTCCTCTGCAAGTGACATCAGCCTCCACCACCTTGTGACATCACAATAGGATGTCTACCCCTACGGTACTCAGACCAACACAGTATGTCAGAGGTTGCCCTCCGCAGGGGTCCCAGTATCACCCAGAGAGGTCCCCAGCTCCTGGGCTTTTCCCAGCACTGCAGGAGGCCATCATATCAGGGTCATTATAGCAGTGCCTCTTCATGTAGGATGAAGCCAGGACCCTGGAAGAGGTTCTGAAAAAGCACCCCAGTGATGCTTATAGAGGAGTCACAAGAGGAAGATTGGCTTTCTACAATTTCTGCTTAACAGCAAAGGGGCTTTGGTCCTAACAGTTAAAGTTTCTGGTGGTAGGAGTGGGACTGCCAGGGTGGCCTATGAATGGTCATACAGACAAGTTCCCTTAATGGAATTACGGTTCAGTTTAGCCAGAAAGGGGGGTGAGGGGGAAAGGACCTATGCATTAAAGTAAAAATGTGGATTATAAAAGGAGAGATGGAAGAAATGGAAACAAAGAGCAAATTATGGATAGAAAGAGTATGTAATACGAGATGCATAGTTCCCATGAACAATAAAACCAGATTTCAAATAAATTAATAAACAGCAAAACCAAACCAAAGTGAAACCTAAATCAAAGCCAATCAACAAAATTAAAAAACTCAGAGCACAGGAAAAATATTACACAGTATATTTTAAAACTTTGGAAACATTTCTCAGACATATTCAGTTTATATATTGGGTGACCCTTTTGTTGGAGAGGAGGTAAAAATTACTAAAGGCTGCTGAAGAAGGAAAACTCTTAACATTTAGCACCTCATCTTTTTGTTTCTGATATTTCTTCAAAATAAATACACAAATAACTCTGAACACAGGCAATGTTAGTGTATGGGATACACTGGAAAAGTTGTAGCTCTGCAACCTATTTTAGCCAGCAGTGAACACCATCCCTAAAGAGGCAATCACTGTGTGCTGTGTCCTGCTGGCCATTGTGCTGGCTTCACTGATCAGGTAGGCTGCTGTGATCCTCTGAGGTCACTCTGCTAGAGACATCTGAGCTGGATACAGATGTGAATCAGCCCACAAGCCCTGGATGGTGAGAATGTATTCCCAGAGTGTAGCGTTATTAATATAATAAATAAATAAGTCCCATGGGGACCATGTGAACACCAACGTGGTGGGGTAACGAATCTCCTTTATTCAACAAGTCACAGGTTAAATAGTAGTTTCAAGTAATCCTACGTCACACAGGTAACTTCCTAAGCCAATCCCATGCAAGCATCCATCTGAGCATGTGCAACAGAGTCTTAGAACTACAATTCCCAGAATACCCCAGCAGAACCTGGTATAACCACACTCCGTACCAGAGGAGGAAAGTGAGCTCACCTGGCCAACATCACAGAGGCAGGATGCAGAACGGGAGCAAGTGTACAGTTCAAAAGGTCTCACTATCCCCCAGGGAAAGCAAAGTGCAGGAAAATAGGGAGAGAGTAACACACTCCAAAGCCCAGCTACGCAGTGATGCCAACTGACCTCATGCTCCCTGCTAGCCCTCTGAGAAACAGCATCGTGGAGTGCAAAGGCTGTCATGCTTAGCCCAAACTCCAGTACCAATGTTCCACTCGAGAAGCTCACAATCATGCTAGAGCAGATCATGTATTTTTCACTAGTGCACTTTCTGATGGAAAATGTAGTTTTCTCATAAATCACACAGAATCATCAAGGTCGGAAAAGACCATAAAGATCATCTAGCTCAACTGTCAACGTAGCTTTATTATAATCATCCCTAACCCATATCCCTAAGTGCCACATCCAGAAGGGGTGGGAGAGGGGAATGAGAGTCACCCTATTTTGAGTCTAAACAGTGGGCTGCTTGTCAAATTTAAGGTGACTACACGAGAGTTCCCTGACTTGTGATCCGGTGACTTTGTTCAGCTTGATGAGTGTTTCTAGTGAACATCATGGCCCCTACCCATGGTTTGGGAAACATGCCCCTCCCTCCATCCACTTAATTAAAAAAATTGCACAAAGGAAAATTAAACAAGAAAAACTTTGTTGTTATAGCTGTTTCCCTGTGCTATGTGAAATTTTTCTCCCTCTCAATCCTCCTTTTCTAGGAGAAGGTTGTTAAGAGAAATGGATGATGCCTGTGGCACAGTCTATTCCAGGAGAGCCACAGTGGCTAAAAACTTTCCATGTCCTGAATCAGTGACTTCCAGGACCAGCTCCTGGGCCAACTGGCACTGAGGCTCCTGATGGCTGTATTTCATGAAGGTAATTCAGATTGACTGCTGCTTGCTGCACAAGCCCATCAACACAGTCAGTCACAGTGGGCTGTGTTTGAGCAGCTGCTCCCCTGGGCTTGTGTCTACATCCCTGCTTTTCTGTTCTCCCTTTAGGGGCTTGGTTAGTAATACAGATTGTTTTCCCTGGATGTGACCATGGTGGCTGAAGACACTTGTTCACCCCAGTCCCAGGCTATGACAACCTTTTTCCTGCTCATACCTGTGGATCTGTCTATGGATGCTGGTGACTCCTCCATGCCAGCCACCTCCTTCCCAAAAATCTCATCAAAGTTTTCCGTCATGAACTTCTCCAGCGCTGTCATCTGCACACATCAAAGTCTTGGTCTCAGCCCAGGTACCGGAAAGCATGTCAAGGATGACTCCTGAGACTTACCTCTGCATAGATGGAGGTGGCTGTGGGGCAGCTCTTCCAGGCAGCTACTCCACTAGCATTTGCTGGAGTGAGGAGGATGCCAAGGCTCTCTGGGCATCCAGCTCAGGTGGGCTGGAGAGGCTGCACCTGGCTGCTCAAAGCAGCTTTACCTTCTTGGTCACTACCAGCATGACCTCAAGCGGGAGCAGGTCCTTTTTGAGTGGGCTCAGCAAGTTTGGCTCCAGGCAGATGGCCAGGCTGCTGGAAGTCATTCTGCTTGTGGACATGTGCTGGCCAATACGTTGGAGCACTGCAAGCAGCTGCTTGAGGAGGAGGAGGTTTTCTGCAGGCAACTTCTTGTCCACCCTGAAGGAACAGCAAGGCAGTGTTCATCAAGCAACTGTTGCACACAGCCACCCCCCAAAGCTGGCACAAGGGAAGGGACAGCCAGCAGCTGTGTTGTACAGTTTTCCAGGTGCTCTCAAGCCAACAGTCAGGGCTCCTGTGCTTGAGGAAGGAAGCATGTCATTGCTTCCTGGCTCCTGATATCACACAAGCCCACAAAAAGAAAGGCTCCCAGTTCATTCCCCCAAAATCTGACCCCAACCCTTCAACAGCATGCATTTTTAAACTCAGGATAGAGCCAGGTAAGATGAGAATCCTTAAAATCCTAGACAAAGGGGGACAGAAATCATTTTTTCTTGGTTTTGCTTCTTCACGGTTACTGTTCTTTGCCAGCAACAACTAAGAGCAAGCCCATCAAATGCTTCCACCAGCATGTGGCCTACAATTACTTACATCCTGAGAGCCCCATGATGGGTGCTAGCAAATGTAGCAAGGGTAGGACAACCACCAGCAGCTGGCCTAGAATTAGCACTGATGTCTCCCTGCTCATTCAATCTGATTTCACAGTTACTGTAAGAGGACAAGTAATACCGAACATCATCTAAGTTTCCTTGTCTGTGTTCCCTGTGATTCAATAATGTCAGACCTCCCTCTCATGGCACAGTTAACCCAAGACCCCTAAATTTTCCCCATGTTGTTCTTGAAGTCCCTCTTATTCTGTGCACAAAACACAGTACCTACACTTTCCTGCAAAAGCATTAGATTTTGGCTCTAAAAAGACTTCACCCAATGTGTTCTTTATGGAGATACACTGAGTTCAGCTTTGAAACAGCTCTGCTTTCCAATCAGCAAGAGAAAATAAAAATGTTGATACTGAAAATTAAGGAAACATGAAACCCTGCAAAGTTTGCTTAGACTCTTGATTCCAAAAATATTGGAATGACGTCTCAGGTGAAATTCCAGTCCTTTATATATCTCCAATGCAGTGATAGCACAGGATCCAGGAGATGCTGCCATTGTTGGAAAAGTTCTGCCCTCCCTCAGGCAGGAGGACACCCATGGTCTCTATCCACTGTGGAAAAGATGGAGGAGACACCACAGGGTGATGATGGAGACTGTTCTCACCCAGGCAGAAGAGAGTTCTCCCTGCCTGGTTGCTGGTGTCTGGCAACTCTCTGGGGAAGCTGATGGCAAAGTGTGCATAGGCCTGTTTACCCTGCTCAGGAAACCTGACAATCTCTACTGGTCTTCTGCAGAGCGGGCACACTGGGTTTCACCGCACCAGCTGAAAGCATTCAATTGTGCTTTGCTTTCTTTGTAACTGAGGGACTGAAAAAAGACCACAGAAATTTCTCCCACCAGTAGAATATATGTAGAATAGTATTATAAAGACTATCTGACATTATTCATGTTTGGTTTCATGTATGACTTTATTAAATCTATATTTCAGAAATAATGTTGTCTAGCAGGCTTTCAGTTCAGTTACAGCAATTGCTTCTCAGCAGGCTAATTTTCCCGTAAGACTAGATAAGGAAAGTAATCACTTAGGAAAATTAGTTTTCCACATACGTGTGCAGTACTCTCATGGCTGGTTTCATTCTGAGAAGGTCTGAAATGGCTCCATCTTTGTTAAGTGAGCCCTTGATCTTTCTTGACAAGAAATTCCAGCAAGAACTGAAGCTCACAAGATTTTCCAAAACTCCATTGTGCAGCAAAGAACCAGTAAAGCAGAGCCAGTTCCTTTTGAAAACTTTAGGTCATCAGAGGCTGACAGATGGCTAAACTGAGATTCTGGGACATTCAACTTCTGAAACACCTCTCCAAAATATTACATACTTCTGGTACGAACAGCTCCAGGGTAGATCCATGCTGTGGATGGATTCCTCAAAATTAAGATCAGGTGTCGGGGCAACTCTGAGGTCTGACTCCAGAGAGATCATGATCAGAAATCACACTGTGAAACATAACTCCCATCTGTTTCAAAATAAAAAAAATCATCCATAGATGTGCAGTTCACAGAGCAGGAGAAGGGGAGGAAATATAACAAGATGATCAGCCACTGTTCTAGAGTGGGTATGAGGCACATTGTCACTTGTTACTAATACAGAAATATACTATTATATAGTAATATTTAAATACTATATTATAATAGATTAATTATATTTATAAATAATCAAATATATATTTGTTATGGTAATTTGTATTAATTAATTACAATATAATTATAATTTATAATGACAAATTATAAATTTATAAGTATATAATGTATGTATACAAATTATATGTAATAACATTTACCGCTAAAATGATACATAAATATTTAATTTATTTAACTAATTAATTAGAATATTTCTTTATTTTATATATTAAAATATTAAACTATACTATTTGAAGTGGATTCTGTCCAAGCATACAATCTGTGCTAATTCTGAAGGAAGACAAGGCTTTAGAAGGGTTAATCGAAGCGTCTTACTGCAAAAAGCCACTCTTCTCTCCCCCCCTTTTTTTTACCTTACTCTAAGGAGATTTTGTTCTGTACAAATTCTGTAGACATATCCCACAGGTACATTGTACAAAGAGCCCAGAGGTAATAAATTATAGCCAAATAGGCTAAGGTAGACATTTGAATAGGTGAAATAGGCCTGAAGCCAAGGTTTTCTTCAAGCCTGGACGATCAGAACACTAGACAATAGAAAGTACGAAAGGTCTCCGGGGTTACGCGATGAAGAAGAGTAGATTTGAGACCCCATGACGAAGTAAAGGCAGGATCTACCACCATAATATTCCTTAAAATAGAGACCACGCCTCAAACTCTGCCTTGACTCCACCTGCTATGAATATTGTAATCTAATGATGCAATAATATGAATATGTATGTGATTATGTTGTAATTGTAACTAGAAACTGTATAAATTGCTTGATCTATTCAAGCACTTTGGAGCCTGTTTTCCCAGCAATAGCTGGCAGGCTGCCCGGCCACTCAATAAATAAATACCTGCTGTTTGAGGCATAAAACTCTGTCTTTAAACAGTTTTAATCTGCCTTTTTTGGGCATCAATTCTAATTAGTAATTAAAGTTGCAAGAACTGAGGACTGTATCCAAACCCTATTTTCTCCATATAAGACCTTCCTCCTCCATGATAGAGCTTTCTGTGCCACTGGCAGAAATCCCCTCATGAGAGCTGTTGGATCTAAAGCTGGAGCTGCTGGAGCTGGTACTGGCCTCAGGCTTACCTGTTTCCTCTCCATCAGTGTGGGAGTGCAGGAGCCTCTGAGCCTCCTCGCTGCACCAGCTCACAATAACTTTGATGAGGTCACGAACCAGTGGTGCTGCACGTCCTCTGAGGTGGTTCTGCAGCCTCAGAATCAAGGTCTCCTCGTGCAGACCATAGACACAGAGATCAGACAGGATTCTGCTCTCAGCAACCTGTACTGGCAACCACCAGTTGCAGTAAATTTCCTCAAGCCTCTGGCGTAGCCAGGGCAGCACAGGGTCCAGAAGATGCTGTTGTCGTTGGAAAAGTTCTGCCCACACCTCAGGCAGGATGCCACCCACGGGCTTTGGCCCTGCAGCCCCCTGCTCACGTGGGGACTCCAAAAATGTCCCCTGTGTCCCCTGTGGAGAAGATGAAGGGGATGCCGCAGGGCATTGGGGGCCACTCTTCCCCACCAAGGGAGTCTCTGGTGACTCTCTAGAAGCTTGTCTTTCCTGGCTGCTAGCCTGTGGTGACACGCCAGGATGCATGATGACAAACAGTAGAGAGTCCCATCTGCCCTGCTCAGAAAACCTGACAGCATCTATTGGTGTTCTGCAAAGTGGGCATGATGGATTTCTCTGTGCCCACTGCAGGATGCAGCTTAGACAGAACTGGTGGCAACAGGGCAGAGCAGAAGCCCTGCTCCTCCGAGTGTCCCGGCAGATGGGGCAACTCCAGTCTGTCTCCATGGCCATCTCTGTGCTCTGCAGCGTACTGGGAAGAGCTGAGGACCAGGAGATGCTCCCTGCCATTGGCACCACACAGAGCAAGAGAGAACTGTGTGACAGCCCTCCTGACTGTCCCAGGGAGGGGAAAAAGAAATGCCTAGCTCTCTCAAGAAGGACACCCTCCTGGTTCCCTGAACCCAATCACCTGCCCTACACCAGGGGGCGTTTTCCCCTTACAGCTACTGCAGGTAGCTGAGCTTCACTGCTACCTATGGTGCCAGGCTGCCTGAACCAAGCAGGACTGGGAAAACACTGCTGATGGCTCTGTGATGGGCAGAAAGAGCTGACAAAGGCAGCTCCCAACACACTACCCAGCACTGGAAGAAGTCTGACCAGATGCTCCAAAACTTGCAGTCTTGATCAGCGGGAGTCAAGGCTAGAACCAGATTGGCTCAGACTCTGCCAGAGCCAAATATAATCAGAGAGAGATGTGATGTCACAATCCATCCCCCAGTGATGGATCCATGCCCCCATCTGCTGCTTAGAAGGTCACTCTCCACCACTGAGTGATGTCACCATTGAATATTCCCCTCTGCAGGTGCACAGTGCCAGAAATAAAAAAAAAGGGAAATACCATTTCTTGTTTTCAGCTTCTTGATTTCTGTGTTGCTCTCCCTCAGCCACCTGTATTATGTGGCCTTGATCACCTTGCTAAGGTCTTCTGTGAGCAGCAACATGGTGGGACCAGTCAGCATGGACTGCCTGTGGACAGACATTGCCTCCTCTCCTCATTGCCTTTCTCTGTGCAAAGGTGGGATTTGGAACACCTGGGTGGACAGTGGCCAGCTCTGGGTGGGAGTCTCCCTCCCCTGTGCACCTTGTTCCAGCTGCAGGGAGAAGCAGAAAGGGGTGTTTTTGTTTATTCCTGTCCACTCCCACTGGCACTTGCCCACAGTGCCAGATCCTTCTCTGCTTACCAAGTCTCCATGCTTCTGGAAGCCAGTGTGTTGGTGTTCCTCAGAAGCACCAGTGATGGAGCCTGACCCCACATCCACAGGAAGCAGATAGAGTTGCTGCCCTCCTGGAATAGCGTTTAAGGGCCACAGGCACCCTGCTCACATTTCCAGAGAACTCAGGATCCACAAGAACAAGCGGGGTTTGTCTTCTCATCTTCTCACATATCAAGCCTGAGTTTCTTTACTGACCTTGAAGGAACCCTAGAAACTCTTAGTCGAAGATGGTTTAGATAAAGTGGGCTTGAATGCCTAACTGTGAAGATGTTTCCAGAAATAAAGGAAATACAGGACTCTTGAGAGCGGGGAGAAGAGGCCGGAGCAGCAGCCATTGTCTTTTTGGACTTGCCTCAAATGTAATCTGATTTCCTTTTGTGACAAAGTAACCCACCTAGTATATCAAGGGAAGCCAGTAGATGTAATATTTTTGGATTTCAGATACTGTCACTTGTAATGTCCTTCTGGACAAAAGGTCCAGCACATAGATGGATAAACACATCACGGGGTAGGTGAGCAATTGGCTCGCAGGTCGATCACAGGGAGTAACAGTGAAGGGGGTGACGTCTGGCAACTGGTCACTAGCAGGGTTCTGCAGCGCTCCATCCTCAGCCCAGTGCTCTCCAACATCTTTGTAAATGACTTGGATGCAGGACTGAAAGGGATGCTAAGCAAGTTTGTAGATGACACAAAACTGGGAGGAGTTGTTGACTGCCTCGAAGGCAGGGAGGCCCTGCAGAGAGACCTCCCCCCACCTGGGACGAGACAAACCTGGATGTTTGTACAGACTGGGGAATGAGAGACTAGAAATCAATGCCATGGAAGGGGACCTGGGGGTCCTGGTTGATGGCAAGTCGAATATGAATCAGCAGTGCCCTGGAAGCCAGGAGGGCTTATGAATATGTGATGGGAAAAGCAGCTTCCCAGTCTTTTAAAGATGAAAAATTTTCTCATCAAGATTTTTTTTTTTTTTTTTGGTTGGTTGGTTGGTTTGGTTTGTCTGATTTTGTTGGTTTGGTTTGTTTTGTTTTGTTTTCAAATGAAATTAACATATGAATTTATAGAAAATGTGAGAAGGATCCATTTTATCATCAGTGCTAGGAGCCAGCTCCGAAGGGGCGTGTGTGTGTGTGTGCAATTTGAGAGCTCCTTCTTATGATTCTGGAGAGCAAATCTATGACTAGTCCATACGTGCATCCCTATCATTTTATTTCTAAGCATTTCTTTCAAAATTAATTCTTTTAGAACTGATACTTAGGCCTAAGTTAGGTTCCTTGGGCAGTGGGGCTGCAAGAAAGCTTTTCCTTCTGCCACAGGTGTCAGCACTCCTTCTGCCCCACCCTCTCGCCCACTCCCCCTGCAGCATCATGGAATCTCTGGAACCCATGTGCCAGGACATTGCCCAACTGCCCAACAGCCCAAAACTGCCCAACGGCCCAGAGCTGCCCAACTGCCCAACGGCCACTGAGCCTGGCATCCTGCACTGCCACTGCTCCTACAGCACTTGGTTGGCTGGTTTTGTTTTCCAGTTTGTTTCAGTGTTGACAAAGTCCCTGTCTTCAGTAGAAAGGTCTCGGCATGGACTGTAGGAAGGTACTTGTAATCTTTTAAACAAAGAGGAGAGCTTTCCTCTGCAGGTTGGATGTTCACAATATCTGTAAGAAGTGATTTTTTGTAATTTTACAATTTTACAATTGCTCTAATGAGAATAGTTCCTAATCTGTTTTTCACCTAGAATAAAACTGACAGAGAGAAGGAGGAGGAGCATTCAGTGCTAAATACTCCTGCAATTCCTGAGTCACCTTTGTCTGTAACGGTAGTAGAGTCCAGTAGACAGTCCAGTGTCACCATCTCTGGGAGTCTTCCACCAAATCAAGAAGAGATACAAAGCATCAGAAGTGAAACGGATGGCACAGTAAAGGCACACAGTGTTGTATCGGGGCTGCAAGATTTCCAGTCTGAGGAAAATAGTTGTCCAACAGGTTTTGATGTCGGTGTCAGCTCCAATAGTAGTAAGCAAGCAGAGCCAGAGCATGCTGAAAACGGCAAATTAAAGGGTAAACAGAGCTGTCTTCAAACTAACCAGCTCTTATTTTAGCACTGCTGATGCATCTTCCTTCTGTTATGGTTACACTGCCGGAAATGAATTTTTGGAGGAATTGGTAGCCTGTTGTCTACTTCAAATGTGTGGTAATGCCATAGTCATCTAGTGAATAAAATACTGGCAGGAAGTTTCTTGGCCTTTTGTTAGGAGCTGTGATGGTTTCAGTGAGGAAAAGAACTGTATAAGAATGACATTTATACTGGACAAGAACAGCCCAGAGCAAGCTGTAATACACTGTAGCAAGACAAACATTTTGAGTACTCTGCTTACATGTAGATGATGCTGTTTCTTGTATAAAAGCTGATTCTCTGTAAGCTATTTATGTGGAAGAGGGAAAACGCTGGTTATTGCATTCTTGGGCAATCATTTCAAACTTGCACCTTCCAAAGTTAATGTTCTCAAAATATACATAAATGCATATAAAAATCCATGGAATTAAAAAACTCCAACCTGATATCAAGCCTTGACCCTAGCTGGTCACATTCAGATGTGATTTTTTCAGATTGATCCTGAGACCACTAGAGAACAGGGGATAATAAATACATCCAACAGTTGTGCACATGATGTCATTGTACAGTTTCCTGCTTTTTACCTGTCAACAAGGTTGGACCAAAAGCTTTTTTGTGTGAAAGTGACTGGTCTTTTGCAGTGCTTTCAAAAGTGCAGCTACTTTCACTGTGTTGTAGTGCCTAAAAAATTATTAATACTAAGGAAAAAAATACATGTCTGACTATAATCCTGAGATGACAGAAGTAGTTTCTTCATTGCAACAGATTTCAGTTAACAATTAACTGAATTTTCTCAAAATGCCCTTAAGGTGTGTTACCTTTGTCATTCTGTTGGAGCTGTTCTTTTGAAAGAATGCAACAAAATGCATTTCCTTAAACAAAGGCAAGGGTTTGGAAGAGGTCAGTAGGTAGCCCTCAATAAATATATCTCTATTGCTTTGTTGACTATAGATGTATAGACTTTGAGGAAAACACACAGAACTGCAAGCATTTTTATTATTATTCTCTTTCTTTCTACTTTTTGTGGGTTTTTTGTGTTTGATTTTTTTGCCCACCATTATAGTGTTTAGAGACAAAAAAGTCCTTCAAGATGCTCAGGGAAGAGACAGCTCCTCAAAAAAGCAGAAAACAAGCCTCAAAACCTCTGTGAACAGCCAAAAGAAGAGTAAAAGTAGTAAGTAAAGTAGCTCAGTCTGAAATGAAATGTGTGAAAGTACTGTGCCATTTGTTTGAAATGAATAGTAAGAAAGGTGGACCAGAGGACATAGTAATCACCCATTCAGAGCCTTTTTAAAAAGGTATAGCCCCATAAGCAAGAAGAGGTGGATAATTTTGGCACCTACATGGACACATTTGCACTGTCTTTGTTTTTTCTGATGCAGGCAATTTATTTATGGCAGTGGTTCTAAGGCAGTAAGTGTGCTACTGCCATGATCTGTCTGGAGAGTAGAGTGCACTGTGCCTATATGAACCTTGAGCAGTTGGACTGTATTCAAGAGTCTCCTTCCAGAAGTGTGTCCCTACCTCATGTCCTTATGTTCTTGCCCATAGGCTTTCAGCAATATACAGTTTTCAGGATGGATTGTAGAGCCACAGTGAGGTACTTCTTATCCACACTCTAGCTCTGTAGGAGTTTGGTTCCCACAGATCCACAGAACAGGTGGGTCTACCTGCACAGCAACTAACTGGGCAGTACTTCCAATGAAGTTTCCCAGCATTCTAGAATTAGACGGACCCCATCACAGACCTGGTTTGTGGTGCTGCACTTGGTCACCAGTGGTGCAGAGAACTGTGTGCCAAGCTGCTAGACCAGGATGGATTCTGTCATTTTAGAGTGAGACAGCTCCTAGTAAGCTTTGGGTTGAGCGGGAAGGTTGCTTTGTTTTTGTAACAATCTATTTTCCCACAGGAAAGTGTGGACAAAATAAAGAGAGGGAGTCTCATCTTAAAGAACAGGATAATTGTTTGCCCAAAGTTTGTAAACGGAGTTTTCAAGTGTATAAGTATTTTTTCAAAACATGGCTAGTGTGGCCTTGTGACACAACACAACAAGGCTTTTTGAATTTTCTTGTTTGGATTTTTTTTTCCTGCTAAAATTATTCCATCCTAGTTGTCATAGTTTTGTGATAAATCCTGAGTGTTTTTCTTGCTGCTTTAATCCTCATTCTCTAGTTCTGGTTCAGACTCTTAGATGATTGATTTGTAATTTTTTCCTTTCTATTTTGCCTTAGTGAACCTGGACATGTTGCCTACTTCTCGTAAGAAGAAGTTTCAGTGTGTTTGTGTCAGTCAGCTATGGGTACAGAAGCTTGTGATAAAAAACAGCAGCTGCTGTTGCCGTGTTTCTCAGCTTTCCTGCCTGCTACCTGAAAGCAGATCATTAGGATTTTGAGTATTTCCCACTTCTCCAAAATTCAGGTTTGGGAAATGCTGCAATGCAATAATTAACAGAGATTGTTTAACTTTCAGATGACTTGGAAAATTTGACCAGTGATGAGCGCATAGCAGTTCTCCAAGCAAAAATGCAGGAAATCCAGAAACGTTACCTGTTATTGAAAGCTGAGGTGGCTGCCATTGACCGGAGAAAGCGCTTAAAGAAGAAACAGCAGGAAAGTAAGTACTGGGAACTAAAATCTACTTTTAGAGAGCTAAATTGCCTGTCATGTTATTAAAGTGTTAACAAGGGTTGGATAATCTTTTGGGAGATGAGTGCTATTAGGAGTGTATTTATGTTGGGGTTTTTTTCTGAAAACATGAATAGTTATTTTATGACATTTAGAAGGTCTGGGTCAGATACTTAGTGACAATGTAAGGAGAAAACCATTTACAAGCAGTCAATCTAGTTAATTCTGTTAAGGCAGAGCTACTTTATATAGGAAACAATATACAGAAAACAAATTTCCTAAGCAGTGAACAAAGTAACTAACATTATTAATAACTTCTAAAGTTTCTTCAAGTTACAGATAAGTTTACTGTAGCACTGCCTGTGTGCCTAGTTAGGGCTTTCCTCCTAGGATTAGGGATTTATTTCATGAGTTTAAGGGAGACAATCAATTAAATGCCTCATTTCTCTGAAGCTGGCACATCTATTGCTGTAGGGAATGTTCTAGTGTGCCTACTGCTAGGAGTGTTAAAAGGATCATTTTCTCCATGTCTTGTTCACATGTGCATTTAAGAGAATAGGAAGAAGGACCAAAATGCCATGTGTAGTAAGATTTTATGGCTGCAACCATCACACAGGAACTGCAGTTGCTGCTTGCTTGCCAGAGCACTGTGTATGTGCAGATTCAGTGCTGGGACAAGGCCCCACTTGCGCCATCTCCCTGAGGAAGGAAAAAGAACAGCTGACATGCTGGTGAGCCAGGAATAAGCTCTGTTGTCCTCTGGCTGAGCCCCTGTGTGGCTTATGAACCAGGTCTGCAAGGGCCATCAACATCAAAATTAGGGAAAGAAAGACTTTTTACTCTTCCATCACTAGGCATAAGATGCTAGAGTCAGCATATATGTCCTGGTTCCAGCTAGGACAGGGTTAATTTTTGCAGTAGCCACTAGGCGGCATGGTCGGGTTATTCTATATCACCTCATGTCATTGCCCAGGGAGGCAAAGGGATTCTCTTCAAGGGAGAAGGGGTTCAGTCCAGTTGAGCAAATGTGGCAGAGGGAGCTGTGTGGTATTGCCTATTATTGCGGTTTTTTTCCATGTGAGATGTTTATTTTCTTATACCCTCTGTCACTAGTATTGTTGCTATTACCATTTGTTTTCTTATCTTGTTGCTGTTTCCAGTAAATTGTTCTTATCTCAACCTGTGATCTTTGCCTTTTGTGCCTTCAACTCTCCCCTCCAATCCGTTGCAGCAGAGAGGAGGGGAAGCAAGAGAGCGCATTCCATGGTTTGGGAGAACCTCGGTGGGGGCACTGAATTGGGGAGTACCTTTCCTAAACTGCAAAAAGATACTGACCCTTGTTGAATAGGGAAACATTCTAATTGCTTATTTATAAATGCTTATAACCTGTGTTTTCTTCTTCCTTTGCAGGGGCTGCTGCCATGTCAAGTTCCTCACCGGATGGAATGTCAGGGGAATGCAGGTGAGAGCAGGACTTGACAAAGCACTTCACACTTAATGGCTGCTGAGGGCCACTCTTTTTAATCAGTCCTGAAAACCAAATATTCATTTAAAAAATCAAGCAAACAAACAAAAAAAATACTAATGTTCACAGGTTTGAATTAGATTAAAAAAGGATACTCTGGGTTTTAAGAATCCATTAATTGAAATGAAACTACAATACTTTGTCATTTTTCAATAAAACAGGGTTTTTTTTAATTTTAATAAAATACATGATTAAAAAAAGGAAGGAAATGGCTAACAAACTAATAAGAATTAATGTTTGAAGATTGCATTCAGCCTGTTTAAAGTGCGTATTACTTCATAATAGATTAAACAGGTATATTTGTGTGTTTTCTTGTAACTGTTTCTCTTCCTGTTGAAGCAAAAAATACTTCATTTGTAATGCTTATTTTATGATGAGCTTCACGGAGAAGTCTTTGAGAGAGGTGTGAGCTCATAAAAGCTTATGGAAGAAAGCTCTAAAATATGCATTAGGTTCTGCAGAAAATGGAGTTATGCAACATATTGTACAAATGGAAGCCAAGGCCTCTGAAATAAAATGCCATAGTTTGGGAATCCCTGATGTTGCTTTTAAGTTTGACTAAGCAACAGTAGTACCCTCATGAAAATGACATCATGCAGAATTGGCTGATAAGTGATTAATTCAAATCCATTCTCTCTTTCAGCACGAAGTGTAGCCCATCGTGAATGTAGCACCAGTCGAAACAAAGCTGAATTTTGATTCTTTTTCATTATGGTAGTTTGAAAATTTCAAAGCACCAGTCAAAACAAAGCTGAATTTTGATTTTTTTTCATTATAGTAGTTTGAAAATTTCAAAGCACCAGTCAAAACAAAGCTGAATTTTGATTCTTTTTCATTATGGTAGTTTGAAAATTTCAAAGTAAGCACCTGAAGATATTCACTGATCAACTGCCTCAAGTTCAGATTCAGTGTAACTGAAACTGGAATAAAACTTTGTGTTCTCTGCCTACATTGTGTCTGACTGTAGTTTTTGACCAAAGTACTGTTATACCTGAAAAATGACAGATTACTGATGAGATTGGTAAATAACAAATGATGATAAGCTTTGGAAGTGCTGACTGTGTTAAGAATTACTTGTGATCCAGGGCTGGTGAGAGCTGTTTTAATAATTTCAGTGAGGTTACAGGAAAAACAGAGGATATGGACACCAAGACTGAACAGTAAGTAAACTGAAATAAGTAGGCAGAAAGGACCCTTCTGCCTAATAAGACAAATAGCCAGGTAGCAGAACTAAAGACCACTGCAGTCAGTGCCATCCTAAAGAAAAACAGGAAACAAAACCAACAAAAACGAGGAAAGAACCAGCACCATGTCACAACCATGACGCTATATTAACTGGATGACTACCCTGCTCTAAACTTAAAGCATCTTTAACTTTTCCATCTTTTTAACGCCTAAGGTTTAAATTACCTACTTGTAGTTGTACCCTCAATAGCATTCTGGAGAATACCAGTGTCCACAGCTTCTACAGGACAGTGCAATAGGAATAAGCACTTGATTTCTAAGGGTGGAAGAACAAAAAGCATCAGTACTCACTTATTGAACTGATAAGCTTATTACTGCACTTCCAAAGCAACAGGCTACAGAAATAATGAATGCCAAGCAAACCAGTTGAGATCTGCACACACTGGAACATACACAGAATCTTATTCAACAAAATCCCAACACCATATTGCTGCACTGTCTAGAAATCTTTCTGGTGTGCTAATGAGAAGACTCAACTCATTTCTAGGAAAGAAAGTGGTTGAGACAAACACTCTAGCAGATGATGTTTCAACCAAATGTAAGTTTAAAAAAATACTTTTTTTTAATATATGTATTTAAGAAATGCTGGAAAAGGATATGGCAATAGAAAAAAAAAACATTCAGAGAGTAAATGGTATAGATTGTCACCACAGAATCTAAACATTGCAATTGCAAATCATTTATTCAGAATACTTGAGTCAGAAGTCATACACTCCCTGGGATAGGGGAGGGACTCCCTCTCCCCCCTTAACAGGCTACAGCAAGAGGCTCAGGCCCAGTTAGCAAAAGGTAGTGTTTCTGTCAGCTGAAGCAAGGCAGAAAGATCTACAGCAGCTTTCTTGCTGTCTCTTGCTCTCGAGCCCCCTTCTTCAACTCTTTTTTCCTTCTGGTATTGGGAAGGCAAAGTACATCCTGTCTGTGTGAGCCCACGCTGTGCCCCTCCTTGTCTGCAGTAAGAGCAGGTACCTGTGACTATTTTTCAAAGACATTTACACATGGAAGCCAGTTGAGAGGTGTACTATGGAAGAATAAACTGCAGTGGTAGCATGGCATTGTAACAAAACAGCAGTTCCTTACTTTACATAAATTGTCCTGTAACAGTAGCTTGCAATATCTGTCAAGTTTTTACCTCAAAGGAGAACAGATGCAGCCAAAAAAACACATTTACCTTAAAATGAGTGCTCTGAACTATGCAAGCAGGCACAGGCAGCTCCCCATTTGAGTGTACACAGCATCACTGAGTGGTGAAAGCAGAGTCACCACTGACATCAATGAGAAGATTTAGCCTTTTTTACGTCATGAACATCCACCAGGTCTGGTCTGTCTGTTCTTGCTTGCCAACTGCCATTACAGTGCCTTTCCTATAGGGAAGTATATCCACCAACCAAAAGAAGTCCAAGAGACCTGAACCCCAAGGCCAGCTGGTGAGCATCAAATGGATGCACCCAGTTTGAAGGGCTTTCAGAACTCTACAGCACCTGCCACATGGTTTTCAGTGATACAGCCCAAAGCAGCCTTTAAACAAAACATCTAGCTCAGGGTCTGCCTATGTGCCAAAGACCAGCAACTCCTCGCTCATGACTTGTGTATTATATAGACTTGGGCCAGAAACAAAGGTGATAGCTGTAAAAAAACTGAAGACTGATGGCAACTGAGATCTAACAGTAATTTTGCTATTCCATCAACTAGTTACGAAATTATCCAACTTGTGCACTTACATAACAGAACGCAGTAACTAATAAAAAGAAAGCCTTTTATTCAAAACAGGTTTGTGTGTCTTTACAAGAAAGTCATGATTTCAACTTACAAAGTCAACATTGCCATCAGCACCTTTCCCAACAAAATCCTTGTCTTTTGTAAAATGTCAAGTGTATAAACACAGCAAGCAGACAATCCACACCAAAACACACCTCTATCCAAAAATCTCTATTTAGATTTTACACCCATATATATAAAATATGTATGAATAACATGTCTTCACAGATGACAACTGCATCACTTTATACTTCAGGTCCTTCTCCTCCAGGAACCAGCTATAAAAGAGTAAGACATCTTTGTATTAGTGCCATAGAGTTGAGTTTTACAAACCCATACATAACAGCTCTTGCTTTACAACAAGCATTTTAGTATATAAAGACTTCATGGTAGATCACAAAAGTGGTTTTTAGACTCAGTATTATCTTCCTCTCACAACAGAGAAAGTCAGTTATGGCAAGAGACACACATACCAAAAAGGTAGCAGGGAGTAAGTTAGCAGAGCATTTTTTTGTGAAGAAAGCAAAGAACTGAACAACAGAAAAAGAAATATAAAAGAAAAACATGGGAAAAAATATATCCATTCCTTATCTTGTCATAATCAGCTGAGCATTTCTAAAGAGGAGGAGCTTCCCTGATTTTGGGAGCAAAATAAGAAGAATTCTAAAGCACAGACTTCCTGATATGGGAAGATGTGTCCCCAAAATAGACCCAAGATCTAATGCAGAAATGTATCTATGTCTTGCTGAAAATTTGCACTCTAAGAATCACCATCTTCTCCTTCACGGGCAGCACACCATCGGCTTAACTGAATGGTAGGAATTTCACCCCATACAAGGAGTCAGAACACGTGCTGTCCTGTATGGATGCAGAACAGAAACCAATGCAGAAAAAGGGCTTAGGATTTAAGTCAAGAATGGCATTTGCTCAGACACAAAGTGCAGAGGTGCAAGGAAAGTAAAACAATAAAATGGAGATAATTTCTCACTCATACAGAACCAAGACTCAAGTTAGCCTTCCTCTTCCTACAAAATTAGGAATACACTTGTGTCCAAAGTCTGGGCTTTGTGGCCATCTATGCAGATAAGCAAAAGAGCCACTCTGGGTCTGCTTGTGTGGCATCCAGGAAGTTGCAGAATTCAACTCAGGGATGCCTAATCACAACATTTAATCTCTGTTTCAGTACTGATCTACACACATCAGCACATGATAAACTAAAAATCCTAGTGCTTTTGATTTGGTATAATCCAACAGACCTCCATATTTTTTGGCAAAGCACGTAAAGCTGTAGCTGTAGGGACACCACATGGTTATCATGATCATGAAATAACTCAGTGAGCATCTCAGTATCCAAACTGCTGCAAATACATGTGTACACATAGGAACGTGGGTATGTCTGACCCACATGCACAGGCAACCGCTTTGGAGCTAAAAGCCCCTGGGAGAGCTGTCCTATGACTACTTGTAAGGAGGCTGTAGCCAGCTTCTCCTAGGCCTCTTCTCCCAGGCAACTACTGACAGGACAAGAAATGGCCTCAAGTTGCAACAGGGGAGACTCAGGATGGATATCAGGAGGAATTTCTTCATTGGAAGGGTTGTCAGGCATTGGAATGTACCGGTCAGGGAAGTGGTGGAGACCCTATCCCTGCAAGTGTTCAAGAAAAAACTGGACGTGACACTTTAGCTGGCACAGTGGTGTTCGGTCAAAGGTTGGATGGTCCTGGAGATCTTTTCCAACCTTAACAATTCTATGGTTCTGACAAAATCAGCGACTCCCTTCACACATGAAGACCAGAAAAACATTCATAAAAACAAAATTAGTGGTCTTTGCATTATTCTTTTGTAAATCACAGCATGTAACAAGTAAAGCAGTAGGGTCAGTTTTCCAACACGAAAATTCTTGATGCAGTGGAACTGTCTGGAAAGCTCATCTTAGAGTAGTGGAACTTAATTGCTGATTTACAGGTACAGAAAATCAACACATGCAGCCTTTGAGCAATGATAACTTACCATTGTTATGTTATTTCCATTGAGCAGAATCTGGTCTAGCTTTGTGATTCTTCTGCCCTCAGGCGTAATCTCACTGAAGGAGGATTAGAAACAGCAAGTGAGAACACAGAACCGGTGACAACAGCTTCAGTTTTGATCACAGAAATGCAGAAATCTCCATGTTAGTTCCTTATTGGAACTAACATATAAATCAGCCACACTGCAGTGTGATCTTGATAAATGGACCACCTAGGTAAAGAAAGCTACCTGACATTTAAAAAAGATCTGTTCTACTCAGTACATGAAGATGTGTGTTCACCCTCTAAAGCCTGGCAGTTTCTTAAGTGCCACATATCAACATGGCATAACGAAGTAATAAACACTTATCCTTTACTTTCCTACCTTTTTAAATCTCTGCGTAGGCCTTAAGGAAATGTAAAAGCAAACAAATAACTGGAAAGTTCAACACAATCAAAATTAAAACTACAAATCAGGAACCCCATTACAAGTATAAATCATGCAATAGCTACCCTATGACACGGCTGTCCTGAACAGATCACCCTACTCTACGGTTTCAGTGCACAGAAAAACTGGTTAGCTAGCAAGTATTCCAAGAATATAACATTTTGCTTACGGATCTTACACTGTATTTTGCCTCAGCAAACCAAACATAAAAGAGCAAAAAGAAATAATACTTACAATTCTGTAACATCTTCCAACACCATATCTGAAAATCCAGTTTCAAGGAAAACAAGGCCCAAAATTTTAAAGCAAAAGCATTTAATACTATTCTCAGTTTATACTAGACTGTGATTTTACCTGAAAGTTGAAAATATCAGAACAATACAACTGATCCATATAAAAAGGTTCTACCCAGTGATCTCAAAACTCTCACAAGCAATAAACAAACTGAGCCAAAGGAGCGAAGCGGGCAGCCTTGAATTCCCATTGAAGGATACTGACGAAGTCATCGAATCCCAGAAGAGTCCCGACGATCTCTTTGTCACTCTTCATCACGATGTGAATACGTGATCCTATGCACTTGTCCACCAGCTCTGTAAGCATACGCGAAAACGTACGTCGCACAAAGCACCCTCTTGCGCCTTATAACTTGTTTGTGCTTATTTACAAACACATCCCGTCCCCACACCAGCCCCCTGTGCCCCCAACACACCTTAACACCCACGCCCATCACCCCCCGCCTCAGCCCCATACTCACAGACGCCCTACACATCCCTGCACACCCCCATCGCCACCACACCCCCCAACACACGCCTGCACACCCATCGTCCCTACACCCCTCTACTCCGCCCGCCCTCCCACACCACTCCAAAATGCCCCCGGGGCGCGCGCGGGACCCGCCGCCCGACGCAGGTCGCGCTCCCGCCCTCCTGCTTCCCGCTCCGGACACGCGGAGGGCCCCAGCCCGCCGTGCCCGCCCGTAGAGGGCCCCAGCCCGCCGTGCCCGCCCGTAGAGGGCCCCAGCCCGCCGTGCCCGCCCGTAGAGGGCCCCAGCCCGCCGTGCTCGCCCGTAGAGGGCCCCAGCCCGCCGTGCCCGCCGGTACCGAGCGGCAGGAGCTGGGACGGATTGGACACCGCGCCCGCCGCCATGTCGGAGCCAGACCTGACCAATCACTGCCGCCGCACGCACACGTGACGGGCCGCGCGCCCGCGCCAGCTCGGCAGCCCCGGCGAGCGGATGGCAGAGCGGTCGCTCCGCGCCGCGCCCCGCCTCGCCCCGCCCCGCCCCGCCCCTCCCGCTGCAGGCTGGTCGCGACAGCTCCGTGTCCTGACAGTCCCTCTATGCTGTGCCTCCCTGTAGAGATTTGGAGGAAAGCCGCCTTTCCCCCCCTTTTTCCTCCTCCTGCCGGCCCTGCCAGTGCCGGGCTGTCCCCAGGGAGCCATCGGTACGTCTGGCTGTGCAGAATGCGGTCTGTGCGCTGTGCCACAGCTGTTACAGGATCACGGGATCAGCCAGGTTGGAAGAGACCTCTGGGATCATCGAGCCCAACCTGTGACCGAACGTCACCATGTCAACAACCAAGTGCCACATCCTGTCTTTCTTCAAACACTTCCAGGGACTGTGACTCCACCACCTCCCTGGGCAGCCCATTCCTATGTCTAATCACCCTTTCTGTGAAGAAATCCTACTAATGTCCAGCCTAAATCTTCCCTGGTGCAGCTTGAGGCTGTCTCCTCTCAGACAGAACTGCAGAATCATTTGGGGTTTGTAACACTGACAGGTTGTGTGGGAGGCAGAGCATCTCACCGGTTACATTTCCTGGTTACCGCTCTCTATTCTTCACATTCCCCTCGTGCAGCAGCCGACTGTCCTTCCAGGTTCGATCTTTTGATACATGCTTCTTTGACACATGTTCCTTCCGAGTTCCCTCGGGCAATTTTTCATTGAATTCCTAACACGGGAGTGCCAATATGCATTAGAAAGAGTTGATTCTGGTGTGACTTCCAGCTGCCCTTTGCAGATTGCATTGTGAACCTGTGCTGGGAGTAGCAGTGGCCGAAGACCACTGCATCCCAGAAGAGGGAGTACCTCTTGGTCATAGAGAGCAAGCTGGGCACGCCTCAAGCCTCCCAAACCCAGCACATAGGCTCCTTTCTCCGCTCTGTCTTCTCGTTTTCTCCTTTCCTTCCTTCCCTTTCTTCCTCCCTCAATCTTCCTTCTTCTTTCCTCCCTCTCTTCTGCCTCTCTTACGCCTTTTTCAGTCTCTGTTGAGATAATTCTTTGACATCCACTGGTATTTTGTTCTTCGAACATCAGAGCGAAAGACAGTGCTGTGTCAAAAAAGCTTGTCTGGTATCAATACATTAACATTCCCAAACCCGTCTTCCTGATGTTTGATTTCCTCCAGAAGGAAAATGCTGCTTCTCAGTTCTTCATATTCTGCACATCATATATATCAATATACTTTCTTTTTGGCAATTTATAAAGAATATTCATTTACAGCAAGCAGGTCTGAAAAAATCTGCTGTCCTTGGTGCCAGGAAAATCCCTGGTCTGTCCCTTGGTGCCAGGAAAATTTCAGAAAGAACGTCCAAGACACAGATAGGAACCAATTGTATTCCTAACAAAAAGGTTATTGCCAAACCAGGAGTACTCCCAGATATGCAGCTGCTAACTAATCATACCCTGTCACAGGTCTGGTAGGAGGCATCCTTCTCATGGGAACACCAACAAAATATATTCAGCTATGAAATGTGCACCTGAAAAATGCGGGGTATTGAAGGGATGGCATCATGCTGTATTGCCTTTCATGTGCTGCATTCCAAGCTGGGCAGCATCTTACAGTGAGAGATTCAGACCACAGAAGTATTTAGGAAGTTCTGTTCAGTGGCCTCTACTGATAAGTGAACCCACAATTATCAGCACTGGAACTAAGGAATGTGGCATTCCTGTCAAGATCAGTTTCTGCACTCTGGTAAAACCACAGCGCAGATGACTCATCAGCAGAGGAGTCTCTATCCTGAACACAGGAGGCTGGCAACAAAGCTGCAGCATACTCCATGTAACTCCCTTAGTTAGTTCATCAGCAAAACAGCTTTTAGCAATAAGAAATATAAAACATGGACACAAGGCAGTCCACTTGCTTAAAATCAAGTGTTGTACATGAGTGATGCTGCCCAGGCCACTTGCACGTGTCCTGGTTCTTGTAAGCAAGTGAGAGAGAACGTATGAGTCAAATCCATCTGCTTAGCAGTGCTGCAAAGTAAAACCACTTTATGCTTACATAAGATCTTGCTCTGTGGTGTGTAGCACGAGCTTTTTAATACAAATGATGAACCTCTTGAGTGCTGCTTCTGTCAAGTAACCAGAATGTTTCCTGAGCTGAGCTGAGTCACCACTTCCCCTCGTCTCACAACACTTAATCAAAATCAGTAGTGCCCTCAGTATGCACACAGCATAACCTTGCTTTTCTGGAACTTGATTCTGGAAGTCAAGGGGAGGAATGTGAGAGAAAGACTTTGAAACCATCTTATTTAGGTTTTTGGTTATTAACCAAGTTAAACTTTTGGTTTCATCTCACACCTGGAGAATGGCTCCTCCACTGAGCTATTCAGAAAAGGGACTTTAATCTGCTGGTTTGCTTTTTAATAACAAGAAATCAGGTGATGTTGGAAGATTTCAATCACTTCAAAAAGTATCTCCATGGTCTCACTATCAAGCAGGATTAGCACTCATTCAGCTGCAAATGCAGAGTGCCTACTTCAGTGGCTGAGGAAAATAATTCAATTAAGGTAATGAGGATTGCTAAGACTTGGTTTAAAATAATCATTGACATTAGATGATGCTTCCCTTACTGGGGATTTCGTATGAGCATTCCTGTGGTAAGCCCAATTAGGAAGAAACGAAAGGGCACAAATTGTTTACACATCAAGAGTAAGAATTAGGAGACAAGGAGACACACTTTGATAACATCTGAGAGTCAATCTGGACAAAAGCCTCAGAAGTCAGTACCAATTACTCCAGAGTAGCATCAGACAGTGTAAATCTGAGTTCTTGTTAATATACAGGAAGATGGCTTTCCCTTAGAGATGGAGAGTACCAGCTGTGGAAACTTGTGAAACAGAATCCATCTCAATCATGAACTTCACTCACGGATGGAGCACAGAAACTCTCCTAGAGTAAGCTGGTGCAGTATGCCAGCTCTCTGCACACAAATGTGTTAAAACCTTTTGAACTGCAGGGTCAGGCTTTAAAAACTGCTTTCAGTAACTGCTGCTGTTGCAGAAGTCATACAAAACCGAGGTTGTAGTGTCCCTGCTGCACTTGTGCCCTTGCGCAACCTGCTGGGCCAGGAAATTCGCAGCTGTCCAGAGCACATTTCTACTTCCTCCTTGATAAAAGCTTTCATCATCATCATCATATGTGCCACCTGATCCACTGACTCATCTTTTCGCTTTGTCTACTTTTCTTTTTTTTTTAGGATTATTAGTTTTCAGTAGGAAAAGCACTTCAAAGCACAACTTAAGCTATTTTAAAATCCTGTGTGCTGTGCACCCAAAAAAAGCCCCAGACAACTACTTGACCATAACAATAACACATCACTGAAAGAGAACTTACCCATATTTCTAGACAAAAGCTTTTTTTAATCCAAGTACTGTATAAATAGTCTTGGGATTTTTTGGTTGTAAAGCAACGGACATAGGAGAAACATAAACAGCAAGAAACGAGTCATTTTGGAAGGTGCCCACACAAAGCAATGATGCCTACTGCATTCGGTTTTTAAAACTTAACTAAGCAACACAATATAAAGTACCTCCAATCAGATATTTAGTTACTATATATTTGAAATTTATATCCCATCATTGGGGAAATCTAATTGCATGCACCTTTCTAGCTGACCCCATAACTTTGTATCCACAGAACTATGAAAAGATGCAGCAGGTCCCAAATTAACTCCTAGCATCTGTAGGCAAATACTGTGAATTCTACTCCAACAGGAACATATTTATGAATATTGCTGCCTGCATTACTAATGTGGTGAGCAAAGAGACAGGAAAAACACTTCCTTGCTAAGCACAGCTGATGATGAACAACAGTGAACCTGTACATTTCATGATGTCCAGCAATAGATGTGATGATCAAGTGTCAGGTGGCAGATTAACTGTAATACGTTAAAATACAACTTGACTACTCAAATCATGATTCAAAGCTTTTTTGATGAATAATGTTGCCCAATCCCATGTGCAAACAAAACAATCAGACAACATTCATATATTAATTTTTATTTCCCCATACAATATTCACAGGGTCTGCTTTTTGTCATTCAAACTAAACACTTTTTCCCCACCCCCAAACTAAAGAACTGACATTTAAGGACATGAAAAGAAGTCTTGTAAACAGAAAACATCCAACGCATAGCTGAAACCCAGAGCCTTTAGCAATTAAAAACACAGTTATATCCCCTTTAACGCAGAGTGTTTACTTGAGTATCCACATCATTAATCAAAATGTTCATGTATTAAAAAGGTGCAGCTTTAACCGAAAGTCACAATGCACTTCCTCACTCACTGCGTGTTAGCATGTGTTTTATTATATCCTATTCAGTCAGTTATTTTAAAAACTATATACAGCTATGTTTAAACGTGTATTTGTGCCAAGTTTTTAACAACACAAAAATAAAGGCATTTTTAAGCTATTGCTGCATGACGTGCAGCAGGATACTAGAGCATTGGTTCAGACACCTAACTTCAATGTAAAAGTCAAGACCACTAAACCTCTGCAGTGGGAGTAATATTGAGCTGAACAGTCCCACTTCACACATTCAAACATTGTGAAAGAATAAAAAGACATGTATGCGATGGCTGACCATCATCCGTTCTATACGATTGTTTACCAATTTTGCCAGCACACAGAACAACTCAGTGGAAAAAAAACCAACACATTTCAAGCTTTAATACAAATGCTTTTGTTGTGGTTAAAGCTACATAACTAATATTCAAACTCCAGAAGATAATAGTGAACACCATCAAAACTAAATCATGTTTTCATTTGACACTTGCACCCAGAGTGTACCACTTGCTTCATTATTGTGTGCAATGCAAAACAAGAAGTACTGAACATCAGCTGCTAAAACACAAGAATAAAGCATATAGGTACAATCAAGAATGTTGTGTGCAGGCACAGACTTGTAGCACAAGACAAGAGCAGACTCTTGTTTTCTCG